AAAGAAAAATCATTTTAAAAAGAAATACAACGTCAAGTAGCATTCGTTGGTCACTTACATCATTCCGATTTTGACTCAAAAGCCTGTCCTTTACAATTAATGGGACTGAATCATTGTATAAGACAACGATTTATTCCCACATAATTTAGTTTTCAGAATAGGCATTGTTAGCCTTATTTATTCATCATCGATTGAAATCAAAATAACTTTTTTTTTATCACCTCAGCAATTTTAAGATATCGGTTAAATAAACTATTGACATTTGTTAAATGGTAATCCTAATTCCCGAGATCCTTCGTCTGTCAATCGGGTGAAGTTAATATATTGTAAAGAATAAAGATAATAAGTCTTGCCTGTTCCAGTACCGATTGTATATCTCTACCCCTTTCAACTGTATCACGTTTTATTCTGCGGGCAAGCCTCACGTCTGGATCTGCATGACATGCAATGCAATATCAGTATGACGAGAAGACCATATAAAACCACCCACATTTTCAACAGAAAAAAAAAAAAACTACCAGAGAGGATCAAGAACTATGGATGGACAAGCAGAACATAGAGCAAACTCTCCTCACAGTGATAATCTTCTGATTTCCAATGCTTAATCATAATTATTTATCGTGTTCGTGCTCTTCCAAAACAAATGAAACAAGCTTATTGGTTTGTCTAATACAACTCCCTTATTATACACATGAAAACAGATAACCCCGACAGGATGCATAGATCCAGAGAGAGATTCATGGTGTTGAAGAAATTATAATACAGAAATTTATATTACCTCAATTTATCCAAAAGCTAGTCTAGAATACTTTTTGTTGAGTAAGCGATGGTAGAACTTGAAAGGCTGGACCACTATACCTATAGTTCGTGGTTTATGACCAGGTTTGATCAATTCGAGCAATAGTGAAATTTTGTAAAATCGAAGTTACTCCATAGTATCTCAGACTGAACAAAGCTTAGTATATGGATACATGCTAGATCGAGGTAAGTACTAAATAAAGTGTGTACCAATTTCTCCTTGTCTCTAAACATCCTCTTTTTTTTTTCCTTATGACAAACAAAATTTTGTATATTTAAACTTAACTCATCATGTAAGAGCAATCGATGGGAAAAAGAACTTAAAACGATAAATAAAATGTAAGAGCAATAGACCTGCATCAACAAATATCTTCATATTCATCATGTTGCGGACACGTTGTTCATGAAAAACCAATATACCCTCCATAATGATTACATCAGATCCATTGACCTGCCAACCAATAATAAAATTAACAATAACAGCCTGCCAAATTTTCATTCTACTGGAATGCAACACCTCCAATCAAAATTATCAGAAATCATCTATTAACTCAGGTCCAATCATGAAGAAAGGGTATTAAACTTTAAAATCATTCAGCAATTGTACGAATTAAAAAATTACACCCTTTCTTATCCTGAATAAAACAAATACAATTTCAGGTATGCTTAGCTTAGACAGATACACAGGCAAGCCTAAGAAGGAATGATTTCGACCGTTGGCTCTCAAGGAGCACTGTAACTGCAGATAATCTCGATATTGGCATAAAAGAAAAGATTCAATAATTAACATGTAACACCTCACTTTATCTTAACGTGACAGAAAGAAGGGAACCTGTCGAGATTTGTCGGTAGATCTCTGATGAAGCTTGAAATCATATATTGGAATCTGAACCGACTGTCCAGATTTGAGCTGACCGAGGGTTTCTACTAGTTGCTCTGTGTCAAATGCATCTACCAAAACATAACAAACCTATAGAATTAGAATTCTAAAAGATTTATTCAACAATCTCCATTAAGTTTCAAGCAACCATACTAGGATGATCGAAGTTATACTCATGAACGCGTTTCAACTCGTCATTCGTCAAACCGCGATAGAATGAATCCTACAACAATAACAGATCATCGATCAAGTTATTACTTGTAGCAATTACCATGAAACCTTTTTTACTCGGTTTCAGATTTAGCATAATGCGAATGACACGGTTGTCATTACAAAGAAGAAACCCAAGGATTCAGTTCATGCTTCCACAACGATCAAAATATAAGACCGTCGCAACACAATATTACAGACAGAGAATCGCAGAGACCTGACAGACGAGCACAACTCTGTGATCTTGCAGTTGCTGAATGATAATGTCGCACACAGTGGTTTTCCCCGATGCAGTGCCTCCAGCGACACCTGATCCACGTTGAGAACGCAAATCGAATCAGAGCACACACAAACAACACGTGCCATTAGATCCTCCCCGACGTGAAAATGCAGAAAAATTATACGTTCAGAATTTCGTTTTCAACTGTAAGATCTAATCCATCGGTAAAGAGAAGCAATTATATGATAAAGCAAGATGTTAATTCAATCAGAGTATAGAAGAAAATTGAAAAAGAAAAAAAAAAGCAATGGTGTTTGGTTTCCAAGAAAGTGAACGCTATTTATTTATTTTCCGGTGAACCAAACGGATTGAAATAGAAAACGGTGAATGTAAGAAGAAAAAAGATGAATGGTTGTGTTGTGTGTGTGTAACGTAATAAGATATATTAAAGTTACCAATGATGAAGGGCTGATGAGAGGAAGTTGGAGAAGAAGACGACGTCGTTGAAGGCTGCCAACCGGAGAAGTGCGCACCGGAGACAACATCTATGACCATATCCATTGGAATGCGTTTGGTTTCCATGATGAGTCCACTGCGTCTTTCTCTTCTAACGCTATTATATACGTATGCGTTTGCGCCATCTATCACCGCTCGCAACAACTTCACCCCATTATTGCTTTTCTCTCTGTCCCTCTTTTACAGGTGATATTTCTTCTTTTCATATTGGCTTAATATCCTATTTTGTCCCCAGTTTCGCAAGAAAGAGGGAGTAATAGAACTAGGAGAATGAGAAAGGGAAATGTCAAATTAGTCCATCCTTTAAAAAAATGCGTCAATTAGTCCTCACTTTAATAAAATTTTGCATCAATGAGATCTCTTCGTTAAAATCCGTCAAAACGGCGTTTTAATTATCTAAGTAGAAGAGAAGGAAAGAGAAAACTAATTTTTTTGTAGGGAAAAATAATATAACGCCGTTTGTACGGATTTTGAACGGAAGGGATTTCATTGATGCAAATTTATATAAAAATTAGGGACGTAATTGACACATTTTTTAAAGGATGGGGACTAATTTTGACATATTTTTCGAAAAAAAACTAGGGACAAAATAGGGTATTAATCCTTTCATATTCTCATCAAAGCACAAACTCATATTTCATAATAATTTCCTTAAAATTGAAAGAATGATTTTTTTTTTTTATTGATTGGTCGTACTTAAATTATTGAATCTATAAAGTTTTAAATCTAAAATTTAAACTTATTTGTTAAAACGTCACAGTATCCATCAGTACATTTTGAAAACACAACCGAAACCGAAGAACAGCACTGAAAAACAATCCAAATTCCTCTATCTTTTCTTTTATAAATTTGAACTTTAGGAAAAAATTCTTACAAAATAATTACAAAGGTAAATTTTTTTTAAGTAAAGATTATTTTAGCGTATAAAGTTAAATTTTTAAATTATAACAAATGTGTAAATTATTTAAATTTTCTACCCTTTTTATTCATTTGGCTATACTTCTCTTTCAGTTGTCACCATTTTGATCTATTATTTCCTTTTCTATTGCCTAAATTGAAACACATGCTTGAGATCTTTCACCCTTACAAAATATTTTTGAAAATCTTATCAGATAGGTGAGTTGTATCGGAAATCTAGTGAATAATTTAAATTACAAAACCGACTTTCAACTAAATCAATCGAAAAAGTTGATAAATTAATTAAAAAAAATTGAATTAGTCTGTTTTCTTACTCCAACCTTCAATGTATGTGGCCTTAGAAAAGTCATCATGAAATTTCTTAATGGGTCACTTTGAACTATATTTATTTTTTATACCTCAACTTTGGTTTAACATAATTCCCTTATATCGGTTTGTCTCCTTTGCCACCCATTTACATCTTCCATTTTGTTGCAAAACCACACTTATGATTTTGATCATATACATCTATGACTTTTTCCATCTTATCTCACAAGAATCCTAAACTTTTAATTTTCCTTTACATTTGACCCAACATCGGCCATAACCATTCTTCACAAATTTCAACTCGTTGACATTCAAAATACCAAGTAAAGTAATTTCTGGTTGTGAACTCGTTCGTCCCTTCATACCAATAAGTTTGCAAAGTAATAATATTCTTCATAAGTTCTTTTTAATAGGTGATCATGTATTAAAAAGTAAGGACTAAATATACTTTTATCAAATTACAAACAAAAAATAACATATATTCGTGTATAGTATGATCATCCATTAGTTAAAGATTGGACAGTCGACCATCCAGTAAAAAATATCATCGAAACAATAATTAATTGATAATTAATTTAAATAATAATAATTATTAATGGATAATTAATTAGAATTATAATGATGAAAATTAATAGAAATAATAAAAATCATTTATTTATAACTATTGAGTCATATCTAATGATAACCTGGTTACAATATTTATAAATACAGGTACAGGTGTAAGGAGAAAGTCAGATAATTATCATTATTATAATATTATTATCCAAAGTCACCTACGTGTCTTTTACATATAGCCTCCATATGCTTTTGGACAAATGCAACATACATGTGCGTGCCTTTGGTATATAACCTTTCATATGGTTTGGACAAAGAAGAGAAAAAACTAGCAGTATAACTTGGATCCAGTTTTCAGAATAACTGAGTCCTCTAAATAAGATATTTCAATGTCTTATCTCAAACCATTCGTAAAAATAAAAAATAATGAATTTTCAAGGATAACAATTAAAAATATTATTGAATTACAAGAATCAAACACATGGTTAACACAAGAAGAAAATTCATTGAATTACATTTTGTAGCCTGTACTTTTCTCTCAACCAATATCTTAATCCACATAAAGCGATTTACAAACCCAGTGTGTGTATCAATGAATGAAGAAACAAAATGGAATGAATTAGGATTAGACACAATGTACAAAGAAATCAACGAGCTATTCGGATGAATGTAGACCGATCATCATTGATTACTTCATCATAACTCTGAACTCTTCAAAGCTAAGCATGCCATCTCCATTCAAATCAAAGCGAGCAATCATGGCTCTGCACTGATCCATGGACTTGGATTCACCCAACTTCTTGAGCATCCTCTTCAAGGCTTTGGGGGTGATGAAGCCACACCGTTCCCTGTCGTACAAATCAAAAGCTTCCCTCAAATCATTCACCTTCTCTTCCTCTTCCACTCCCTCCATCATCTTCACCAAATCCTCCAAACAAAGAAACCCATCACCGTCAGAATCCATCGCCGCAATCACCATCTCCGCCTCTCTCAACCCAACCTCCCCACCCAGCATCCCTATTCTGTTCCTCAACTCACAAGCTGAAATCTTTCCATCACCGTCCTCGTCCAAGTACCTCAGCACCCGCTCGTATTCACCACCCTTAATCATCATTCCTCAACAAACAATTATCAAAGTTGTTGTCTTGAAATGTTTGTTCTGCTAGGAGGTTTATATATAAGCTTCGCGTTGTGTAGATGGCGCGTTTATTCTCTGTCTATACTGTCGGAAGAAGAATAAGAAAAAGAAAAAGAAAAACACAGCAGTTACATATGCAGTTACTGATTTACGCGGAGCCAAAGAGAGATAAGAGGAGACTTCAAAGGTCAAACAGTTCGAGAACAATATTAATGTTACGGTCAAAGGAATAGTGAATTTTTATTTTATGTTTGGAAAATGTTTTTCGTGTTTTAAAATTGGAATTGCATGTTGCCAATTGGGTTGTGAGATCACGAATGAGCAAGACGCGTGTGGGGTGGCTTGGTGCTAACCTAATAACACGATGGCTACGCTGCCTTTTTTCAACCTTATCCTTTCCCTCTTTGTATTTTTATTTTATACACCCACCCACCTTACCCACTAAACTGTCTATTACATCTTCAACCTCGAGCCCTTTTCAAATATGCATTTCGATTTCGGTTCTCTTTTTTTTATCTCATTGTTCGTTGTTTTGGCAATTCCAAGTGTTTAATTGTGTTTCAATATTTCATTGGATCGTGTACATATTGTATTAATGATAGTGTTGTGATGTCTTTCTGAAATGTATATAGTATGGTTGGTACGTATGATTTATGTTTTAAAAATGGGTGCAACGTCATAAAAAGAAATACATAGACAAACACAATTTGGCGGCCAAAAGTGGTCAAGTTTCTTGTTGGCACATTGAAAGTGTGACGTAATAAAACAAACAACGTTGTTTTGTTTTAGTAGTGTAGAATCGACAGAAGAATTAAAGATGAGGCTGGAACGTGTGGGATGGCATCTTTCTGAGTGAGCAGATAGAAGCGTTTTCAGGTTGAGTCGGACACATTATGCATGCAAATAGATTCTACTGGAACGTAATTTATCATAATAGTTCGACAGATGTTATTGTTTAATTATGTAATATTATTTATAAGTTATTGGTAGCATTTTTTTTTTCATTGGGGAGAAAACGGGTTTTTAATAATAGAAAACATTTTATCAAGGTCTTTCTTCATTCCAACCACAGTACTAATATTACTTCGAGTTGAATTGGTGGTAGAGAATAAAACGTGTCTAAGTTACTTTATTTATGATTATTTACCTAACTTTACTGATCAAATCAGTTGTTACTAAAATTAAATTATATTCTTTATGATAATAATTGTATATTTAAATTTAATAATTTTAAAATACTATTAAGTTTCTTTATGAGAGGATTGTCATTTAGTCTCACGGATTTTGTGAACAAGTGAAAATCCAACATTACATTGTATTAAGGATCCTGTTTTGTGATAACCTTTTTTGGGATAACATTTTAACATTTACTATTTATATGCATCATTCTGTTTATTGTTACGTTGGTGTTTTGCTTTTATTATTGAGTGTTGAGTATTTTGAACGAATACACTAGATGAATTAAAATATTATCAAAAACATGTGGTCAAATTAGCATTAGACTAAAGATTGTCTCGTGGACGTTATACAGAAATATTGGAAAGTATTATATGAATCTCTAATAATTAAAGAGTGTTTATTGATTTAAATAATATCTCTAAGGGTTTATGGTGGTGTTTTAAAAATGGTTTCGGGTGTGTTTTTCTTTAAAATGATAGACTAGTCGTAGGAATTTGGTAGGTGAGATTTGTGAGTATAAAATGTCAATCAGTTCCTGATTTCCAATGAGAGTGAATTTGGCGAATAACCTTTTCTCCATCTCATAAATAAAGAAATTGTGGGTGATAATGATTTTTTACAAGATATCCCTTTATGGGGTTAGAGACATTAATTAAGCACCATGTGAGTGTGTTAGCATGATTTTTTATATAATATATATATATATATATATATATTATTATTTATATTAGATAATATATAGATAATAAATATAACGATAATCAAAATAATTAAATTATTTCATTAATATATAGAATTGTTATTACAAATGTAATAATATTTTCTTTATTAATTAGTTAAATTACTTACACGTTTTATAAACTTTTTTCTAATTTTTTTTAAGAAACAACATACATTTTACTTTCAAATTTCTTATTTACTCTTCTTTAAATTCATTTTTCCATAGTAAACAGGATGTTA